TCAAATTTAATTCATTCTCACAGTGTTTACACCTTAACCGTGTCGTTTTGTTCTGGTGTAGTTTGAGAGGAAGTTAGAGACTACCAAACGTCTAATGATAATCGAGTTACTTTGTCCACAACAACCAGAAGATGTCACCCACGATTGTTGGTCAATTGCTGCAATTGAGATTAGAATACTCGCAAGACTGGTGTATAGTTGATCGAAAAGCATACAGTTCGGCAGTTATAATTATTTTAAACCAGATAACTGTCCCTCCGTTCAGAATACTCTCAGTTAAATCATGGAGAAATGGTTTAAAACGAGTGACAATGCTTTTGCTTAACAGGTCCAATAGGTTGGTCAGGTAGAGAATGCGTAAAAGCAGAGAACATTCCTGTGAACATTTAACTGCATAGTGGTGACAGACTAGACGCAAGACCGTTAACACTCGATAGATAGATAGCGCAACAACTCAATAAAGCCATTGTCTCAAATAAAGAATAATAGGATCACACACCCATCACGACCGTACATCAGCCAGGTTTGTAATGTAAAAGAAGTTGATTTACCGGAATACATTCTAGTACGTCCGTTTACATGTTAACGTGTAGGGAGCTCAATGACATTTCCAAACATTTTGTGAAAGCGGCTAGATCGAAGACACAAACAACTTGGGTTGGAAAACCATTTCATGCTTGAAATGTCTGACCATACAGACGACCGTACTGATCAATTGGCTTCAAGCTATTATCTCCATATTACTCTTCGTGTTGAATACTGAATACGGAATAGTGAAAATGGAAAACTAGAAGATAAAAGCCGGTGTTTCTCCATCGTAGGTGGATAGGGCACATGCGCGGAAGCACCTCGCTAATTCCTGTGGGGTGACAGCATATTGCGGTTACGTTATATCTTATCCGGTGCGATACGCTCCCTCTACCTGTAGTCCGCAAAGTGGACATCAAGGAATATTTTAAAAGCCGACGCAGACTTCGTCTCGACTAGCTTCTCGGGCAACTTGTTCCATTATTTCACTAATCGATGCTCGAAGCATAGAGAGTGAGCGATGCATTTTAAACCCGGTACCAATAGCTTATATCGGTGTCCGCATGTGCTGCTTCGTGTAAGAACGAGCAGCAGCCACCTAAACATAGGGAAATGACCCAGCTGCAAAATCCGGTGTGTCATAATATGATCAACTCGAAGCCAGCGAAATGGCAGGGTGTATAGCCCTAATCTCCTACATCGGTCCTCGGAACCAGTAAACTGTGGATGAGCCGGGTAGCTACCTGCTAGACCCGTTCCAGTCTCTGCAGCTTACCTATGAGAGTGAGCCGTACTCAAGCATCGGTCTTATCAGACCAAGTGCAGCAACTGCATCTACGTACCCAAAGCAGGCGTAGTCCGTTTGTGTGCAGTCTGTTCGTGTTGTCGACAGACTTCCCATCCCAGTGTGAGAGTGCGCCTAGATCCCCAACGAAACTGGTGGGATGCAGCGAGTGGCCGGCCAGGGTGTACGCGCGTCAAATTACACCCCGCACTAGGCTAGTAAACGAGGACTTGGCCAGATTGACCAGTAGGTCAAGGTTTGCAGAGCACCGGAATAGGCGGTTAAAGACCTGCTGTAGGACCTCATAGCCGCCGGAAGGATCAGTAGTACTCCAACTCTTCAGGTCGTCTACAAACAGCGTGCAGAACGACCGAAGCCGCAGTGGTATTCGCTAATAGGGATCCTGAATAAAATGGGCCCGAGTGCTGTGCCTTTAAGGACACCGCCAGTGGAGGGTAGCATTCCATTAGGTGGTCATCCACCAGAACCCCGCATATTCTTCCAATATGAAAGTAACTGATCCACTGTTGCAGTGCGCCACCAACACCACACATCCTCAGCTTGTGGGACAAGACCTCATGGTTCAGTTTATTGAAAGCTTTACTAAAATCAATGTAGATATCATCCAGTGAATTTCCCTGATTCAACGCTTACAACCATTCCTGCCGCGTCAACAGCAGACTGCTGATGCACGAGCGGCCCATTATGAAGGCGTGCTATTGCAGCTATAGATCTTTCGACTCCAGCAGCTGGAGAAGACCCTTTATCATACTCTTTTAGAGCATCTTCGCAAAAATAGAGGTGAGACAAATCGGCCGGTAACTGCCCGCATTGCGTGGGTCACCGCCTTTTAGAATAAATTGCACTACCGAGCATTTCTAGTCACTCGGGAATGCACCCTCGGACAGCAATCTATTGAACGGATCCGCCACGGCAGGCGAGGTGATGGCCGATAAGGACTTTAAAATTGGCGATTGAAGTCCATCTAGTCTGGCAGGTTTTGTGTCGTCAAAACTGGCGAGTAGACTGCGGACATCCAGGCCCTCGAATTCGGTAGGGGCTGCATACCTCGTACTCGGCACAGGCGCATGCTCACGTGTATATACAGAAGCAAAGTACTTCACCACTGTAGACACAGGTTTAATGCTAGAAGTCAGAGGCTTTCCGTCATTGCCCTCTAACAAATCTATGTACCTTGCTGGCCTCAGACACGGCCTTACGTAAACAAAATCTTCTTGGAGGCTGTCTGCGCAAAGGTTGTTAGCTCCTCTTCGCAGTGCCGAAGCTTCTCTGATTTTGCGCTGCTGCATAGATTCCGCTGCCTCTTATAGGCCTTATAATCATCGCGGAATTTATTCCGTAATAAGCGTCGCCGTCCAGCTTGTTGACAATTCGTTTTGTCGGACCAATGTGGGTTCACTGATACAGCTTTCCGACAGTTGAGGGGTACAAAACAAGTGCACAGCAATTACACACCATATTTTAAAACAGACCAACGCGTTTCAACAGAGGAATCCTGCGGCAGCAACCATTCTACTTCACTGGCGGCCCGATTGCGACAAAGTAAGTCGGTCTTTAAATAAATGTACGACGGCTCCAGCGGACGCAACTAGGGCAGCGCCAGCTATAGTCTGGCTAATACCATTGAGTGATCACCAGCCGCTAGAGGCTCCATGACCTGCATTTCGTATACGTGTTGCTCGCAACGCGTTGGTAGCACGTTCTGGCACCATAGAGCAGAATAGGGTGTAACGCGCCTCGGTTGGCGGATGTGTTGTGCTGCCTCAGTTTCAAATACCAAACTGCGCTTCGATTCCACAGTGTGCGGCGAGGAGATGAACCTCAGGCCACCGTATTCGAAGGAAGTTAAGATCGCCCATAAGCAGAAAGCGCGGCTCACTATTGTATTTTTGACATGCGGCAACCAGTACAGGCATCGATTTCGTGGGCTGCGATAAGCTGTATGCACAACCAGTTCACCCCGTCTCAGGCGATCGATCACGATAACTGTTCGCACAGGCCATCGGCCGCGTTAGATATGTGCCAGTCTTTAGCACAGCGATAACCGAATCTATAACAGCGCGCCGCTTCGATCAATTGCCAGTTTCTTGCACCGGAGGCACGAGTAGCCATTGATTTGGACTTCTTGGTTTGCAACCTAGGAATTTAACCAGGTTTCCGCCAGCGCTAGTACAGCCGGACGACGAGAGAAAACGAAGAAATATAGATTGTCACGTCTGACCACTAAACTATAAACATTTGTGAAGGCTACGCGTGGGTTCCCGTAGGAACCGACGGAGGCGCACGACTCGTCATCGACCTGTTTATCCGGGTTCGGCGGACCCGGGGAACTACCAAAAAATTTTCAATACAGCGACTGATTTCTCCTCTATCAGTCCGCCGCTTCAACTTCACGATAGCAGACTTCAGTTTCTCTCTGTCCAAAGGATTCAAATAGGGAAGAAGATGGATCATTGGACGTCGTAGCCTAACGAGGCTGATAGTACTAGCCACGGACTCGCTTCATCAACAAACTTGACTCGCAGAGGCTGGGACTTCCCTTTCTCTCTATTTCAAAGATAGGTGATTTGTTTCACCTGTTCATTCACGTCGAGAAGTCGGTCAATCAGGCTGTGGAGTAGATCTACGTCATGATAATAGTGAGCTTGAAGACTAACATCCGTCACATAGGCGTGTGAAATATCATAAGGTTACAACGCCGCTGACTGCTGACAAATGTCATCTCCTTTTTGCTTCGCTGCATTCCCCATTGGCTTTCATAGTTTCGCTATCACACACCGGTGTGTTAGTATCCGTATGACGCAACACAGGCGCGCCAGCTGAGGCTCCAGCAATGAGTGGGCATAGCTCTGGAGAGCCTGCAGCCGTTGGGCAGGTGGGCTCGTTCGAATAAAGTGGGGGCTGTGTTTCCGCTTTCTTGGATGAACTCATGAAGCTCCTCTCTATGGAACGTTTCGCCAGTTTTATAAGCTTACGCAGCTTATCAACTGGTTCTGACTGTACAGTGGCTTAGCAAATTTTGCACAACATTTGGACAAAATCATGCTGAATTTCATGCAGTAGTTTAAAATGCTCTAAAGACAAACCAATACACGAAATGTGGAAATTTACAACACACATTAGGCTTGTAACAGCGTTGGCTCTATGCCCAACTATTCTGCAACAGGTGACACAGGGAGTCAGCTTCCTCGGTACGGACTTCTTAGCAGATGTGACGGTAAGAGGATAAACTAACCGATAAATTAAAGATATAAATACCACAGTAAAATATACAGACACGACACTAATGCACACGAAACAAATTGAGAATCACAAAAGAAACGGAATTTGGCAAGCATAAACACGAAAATCCGCTCTGCACAATGTAAAGAACCATCCAAACAGGCCTGTCAAACATGCGAGAAAGGCCGTCCGGCGAGCGCTATCCTTAGTCGGAGAATTTTCAGAGAGTGGGAGCATGGGTGACCTGGAAAAGACAACTAAGTGAATATGTTTACCCCGTGACATTGGGGAATAACTACACTTACTACTAGATTGCATAATCATCAACTTCCTCTAATGGCCCGGTGTGTTGATCTTAAATGCGTCTTCCTACGTCTTTCATTTTTTCTCCCAGAATGGTCATCCGTATACCTACCTCATTTATCAAGATACTTTAATGGCATTTATGCAGATATATGAAGAATCTAGTGACATGCAAAACGTACTGGTGAGTTGCGATCTGACCCAGGTTAATGGCTCCTCGGTTAATCGCGACCTGATGACTACCGGCTGTTCGTACGACATAAACTGGGCGTATCGATGTAACTATGTTCGGAACTTCGGGTACGAAGACAACTCCCCTTGCTTCGCCCTGACTCTTAACAAGATTTATGGTTGGCTACCGCCAACTTCAGATGGTGTGCAGGTGTGCTGTGGAGGAGCGACGCCAAACGACGATGAACTACTGGGAACACTCTGTATTTATGACGCTTTCGTTCACGATGAATCGGGATGTGGACGCCGATGTGGAATTTTTCCTCATCAGTTTTATCCTTATTTAAACCAAGAATTCTACCTTCCACCCTTAGTCTTTATGGAAGTCCGCGGTCCACGAAAAAATGTGTTGGTGCGAATTCAGTGTCAGTTGACAAACCTTCCTAGTTCATCAATAATTGAAGTCGCCCTACTGGTTGACTAAGCCTTTCACTAAGACATGAACATGGGACAAAGATGCTGTTTTCTCTTCTGCGCTTCCGCAATGTTTGCGTTAAATATTTTACTACCCTGAAAAAATCGTCCCTACATTTACTTTATTCAGCATTGTTTTTCTCATTTAAACTTGCATTTTGAAGTAAATGCTCACGAATGAAAATCGTACAGACCGTAAACGTTCTTTTATTAGTCAAAACTGTTAAAAAAATTTAGGTAGAACCGTTGGTGATATTACAGGTAGGCTGTTTAACATACGATGGTGTTTTCAAACCCAGTTGTCATCGAAATTAGAACACAAGAGTGTAAGTCGATTTCCTTATCGCAGCTGGATCCAGCTACTGTGTGCAGCGCCCAAGCAATTATTAATTTCTGTTGTTGACCATCTAAAGTCAGCTATAATTCTTGACGAATTGTGATGTTTATAGGGTCCCGTCTGTTGTCTTTTCGCGCACATTGCTTTGTGGAGGACTTAGCTGTTACCACTAACTTTTGGTTGATTTACTCGCTCTAACAGTTGGAGAATGTGAGTTATGACGATTTTACTTAAAATATGATAAACAAACACAATAAATAAATAATCTATTTCTCGAAAAAGCGAGACACGGTTCAAAAGAACTGAGCCAACCGTAGTACATAGAATTGCTTCACAGTAATTTTAACCGATCGTTACTAGTTGCAAAGAAATTTTATCACGTTTAGCAAAACATTTTTGACAAAATTCCGCCAAAAGACACAAATCACTGCGTCAAGGTTTCCCAGCAGAATTTTATTTAGGTAGGCCATGAGGATGGACATTTAACACAATTTAAGAAAAGAATGAATTGCAATTGAGGTATGACAAAGGCGTTGCCAGCAAGGGCATGAATGGAAAATCGCTATGATTGGATATCCATACATGAAAATTAATTGCTACTTCTACAACATGAATACGGATGGGCGCTTACGGAGCTGCCACTTAACCAGTGTTTGCAATAACACATAATATATTTGAAGCATAATGTGGAGAGCCAAAGTGAGTTAAAAGATGAAGGTTCGATCTTTGGGGTCCAATCTTTTAATGTGTTAGTGTTTGTATTAGCCGGTGCAAGATAGTACAGCCATGCACAACGGTAGTCTAAATTGCCAACTTATGTATGTGGGAAGCTTAAGGCCGTGGTGTACAAATTTGCAATGTAACCGTTTGAACTAGCTAATATTAGGTATTGCAGCTACCTACTATATTAGTATAATGGTAAGTGCCAAAGCAGTTTCAAGTGATGCAGTTTAAGGCTATGGTGTCCAAACTACCAGCATGACAATGTTAGCACTAGCCAGTAGTGATTGTAGGTCAATAATATTTGTAGGTCAATGAGTAAGTAAGGGGTAACATAGGCAAGAGTAGCAGATATTTATTGGTCTTTTATTCAACGCGGCTCTGGTTGCCTTCACCCTTTTCGGATGCACACTATATGCCGTTCGGTTCTTTCCAAGTGGCTCCTTTTTCAGGTACAGTAAATAAATGGATTAAAGAAAAAGATTAAACTTAATAAATGGATAGCCGAACTGTTTCGTTTTCAGGGTGGAATTTATTGTTTCCATCACGAGACACATGCGGAAACGCACGGCTGCGTAATTATTAAGTAAGAAGTTGCACGTATTTTAGTGTGCTACTTTGACACTGCCATGGTGATTTTTCGTTTCATATTTCCTAATGCAAAGGTTATCGTAATCCAAGCGAATCATTTAATACTTGAACTTGACCATGAATCAACTCGTCAATCAGTGAAAAGCTAGCTTTAAGCCGTCTGATACAAACTGGGTCCATTTTCAACACTCTAGTGTATTCTGGATAGGTAAGTCTTAGAATAGAACTCAGCATCGAGTCCGTAAATTCGAGCTGAACGCGTTCCAGAATCATTGTGTCTTTGTGTGCCGCCCTTTACTGCAACTCTGCAGCAGTACAAACCTGAGGGACCACTTATTGGAACATACTGTTGAGTATAGCCGTCTGGAGTGCCGCAGGAATTCCATTTCCATTCGTGTCTGTCACCCGTGGAATGCTTTCCCAGAATCGGTCATCCCTGCACCTAACTTAACAGTATTTAAAAGGCTGTTGGATGACACACTTATCCACTTACACTTTGTCAATTACCACTACATCTTCATTCTACACCTAGAGTTTACCATGGAATTATTTCATGGTAACTGTGGGTACAGTGAATCTCAGCGGATTGCAGGACTTTGGCGGAGCAAACGATAAGTCTTTATTTTCTTATTTACAGTACTAACAGTTTTACTACCATTATTTCCATTAATGTTATGCTGATATCCTCACCAGCTATCCAACAGAACTTGTAAAGCAAAGTTTTTTAACCCGTATAAATTCATTATTTCTTTTCCATTGAACTACCTTAATTTTCAGGAATCCATAGAAAATCATACGTTTAACTACTGTTAAGTCGAGCAGACTGCTAAAAATTACATTTGTTACATTAGCTTTCGCGACAGTATGCCGCACATATTCCTATAAGTTCTAACTACGATTATAATACAATCCAAGGTCACTGACTTGAGGAAAATATGCAACCGGTTTACCCAAGGTCAGTGGTCTAGAGCGAAAATTTCGACCGTATGAAAGAACATTGCTCATTTCAACTGAGAAGCCTATCTTTGTGATAGAACACCACAATACAAGTTACCTAGGTTAGTTTGTACGCTGCAAGCAGACAATTCCGGTACTTGGGATAGCACGTGTGCACAACTTTAGTACTATCGGCGAACACGTATAGGCGACCGTGTGCAAAAGCATCAATAGCATCTTTGATACACATACAAGGAATAGTAGAGAGCGCGGAACACTGCATTGGAAATGTGTTTTGCATCCTAACTACTTGGGCTCTGCCATTAAGATAGGATGAAAAGCATATTACTCCGTCCATATTGAGTGACGTGAATTCTAGCAAAGGTTAAGAAGTTCTGTCAACTCGTTCTTGATCAGCATCTCTGTACTTCCACTCTCACTACACTGCAGACGTTGTCCAAAGGAATAACACACCTCTATGCGTGATGGTGAGAAGCTTTAGAGTTGATTAGTTTTTGTCGTTAGCGTTTTGGTTGTGACGTTGGAATAGTCCGTAAACTAATCAGCACTGTTATTTCATTGCCTTGGTTCCGATTTACCTGGCCATGTGTTGCATGTATCAGTACCTCAACCCATGTTACTTGCGTTGTTTTCGTGACTAGGATCTGGATGACAGTAGAAAAGGAAAAGAGGCCTGCCGATGACTTAGTCAAGAGAAACGTATTCCTGCACTTCAAAACGATGTTTGCTTGGAAAGTCTTGACTCCCAGTTTGGCATCCGAAAGACAATGGGCATGTGTGGTTTGGTACGTTTGTTGACATAAGAAGTACCGGCTGCGATGGCGATGTATCGTAAACTCCTTTATCCGTCCGACATCTAAGCATAGCCTTCTTTTCCAACAACGACCTCATAATCGATGCAAAATACGAAACCTAACATGTTTTTAATTTCTTCATGTCTTGCTTTTGTTTTGATACAAATTAGTTGAATTCCCTCTAGGCGCAGTAGCAGAGACAATTCCTTCTCCTAGCTGACGTGTAGAGCACTGATGAAAAACGTCCTTATCCAAAGTGAATATCACATTAAACAGGCGTCCACATGGAATTAGATATCGCTTACTCCTAACCAATATTCCGTAACAAGTTCGTTCAGAATTGGTTCACTGTCTATTTACAAAGAAGAATTTGTATTCGGTAAGATCTAGGGATTAACTGAGGTGAGTTTATGCAGACCAGGAAACTATACTGACAATGTTCTCACTTCACATAAGTGCCGCAACTTTGTTAATCAATCAAGCCTAACAAGTTACTGTGTGGGTAAACACAAAAATCTCATGACCATTTATACTTATGTATAACCTTGTTGTGGAACAATGGAACAATGACTTTATATGGTTAAAAAACTAATGCATAACTGGTCACGTAGGATGATCGTGGTGAAACTTTAAAAGATAGAAAAATTGTTAGTAATGTAAGATTTACACCAGTGTACTCACTGAGGAATATGTAGTATAAGCGTTTAATCCAAGGCAAATCCATGAGGAATGACGGTGAATGGGATGTTTGTAAAAAACTTATTATCCTGATGTACACATACGGGAATTGAAAAAGTTGAACGAAATCTGGGATTTGACCGCCAGTGAAATCGCTTGCATGCACGTGCTTATCCATGGATAAGGGGCCATGTAAGCCAGTGCAGCGAAATAAGTGCGCGGTCAACTTGGGCTTTGAACTTCGCCAACGTGGTAGCACATAAACAGATTCTCGTAAGACATTCCATGTTCGGCAACCGCATACGGAGAAGAAATGTCAACGGCATTCCAAATGACGGCACTGCTCTGCTAGCTTGAGATGTTGGCTTCTCAAACTGATCTCGTGACGTAGCGCTAGCAAGTAGCGAAACGGCTGTTTGGGATCACTGAAAATCTGGTAAGACAAAAGTAGGTTTCCGGGCAATCGCCGCTACTGTCCGCTAAATACCCCGAGCATCTGATGCCTTCGTACATGCGGCACATCATACAAACTTCCGACATTCTTGGTTGCTATGCATTTGGATAGCTCAAAGGTGAGGAAATCTCTCCTCAGCCATGACTGCCAGACCTGTATTGTGTATTTCACATGTGGACTCATGCATGAGCCGAGAAGTCGTGGAATAATTAAAAGACCGAATCGTCCTAATGCACGCTTCAGGAGGCCCACGTGTTGGATGCATCTCCTAGACCCCGTTTCAGCCTGCTTCGAACATCTAAGGTCGGCCTGGATCAAAACACTCAGATTCGTCTAGCCAAAGACGATTAAAGCTCCTGGTTGCCGAGTTCGTACGAGTACACCAACTTGTGCCGTAGGTGTAGCACTCAACATTTACCCACATTGAATTCAGCTAGATGGATCACGCGGATACCCTATCAAGAGGAGCTTGAATTACT